TCTAGAAGAAGGGGAAACATATTTTTACTCCAAACTGCTCTATGTACTTCAAATCTATCATGTAAGTTGTGAGGTGCTAAATAGTTTAGTGTAGATGAGAACTATTAGAATATCTATGAAATAAATTGATCTTCTTGAGTTTAGCTAAAATTTTCGCCTTTAGCTGAGTCTAAGTTGACAATTAATTTTAATTACATATTTCATGGGATTCACAATTTTTTGATCACGCATTTTATCAACTTTTAGTAAAATTTATTAAAATTTTATTCCGGTTGTGCTACATGTATATAACAACTTACATAATGATTTACTAATAGATGATATGGTGAGATATAACCGGATCAAAATCTCATCAATTAAACAACTTACCTACTTAAATTTTGACACCTCATCATTATGTAAATAGTTACTTACAAGAAGCATTTTCCATTTTGTTTTAACCCTGAGCCCCAGCCCCCAAACAGGGGCTTAGAAAATCTATTCTGAAGTCAAGCACTAAAAAAGGATAAATATTTCTGAATTTGTAAATCCTCAATAACCATGTTGATGTACGACATTGTTGGCTAAGCTTTAAGGATGATGAATGATATTAAGAAGATAACCAAGGATTTAAACAGATAAATTTGAATAATTGTTCCACCAGGGCCAATAGGATAATTTCCATTATTCCTGGGTAAATTATTCTATATTTTTCTGTTGATGCTCTGATACTCGTTTGCAGAGGACCATGCCTGCAGCGTTTGAAGGTTCTTTCGATTTCTTTAAAGTTCTACCAAGTAATCCTTCATCACTACCACCTGTTGTGCTGCAGTCTTGTTTACCACTGCTTATACAGCATGTTGGTTGGTTTTCCAAATACGATACTCCAATTAGAACCCAGGCACAAATGTATAGGCATCTGCGTCCATTTCTGGGCTTGTTAATTTATTCACCAACCAGAGAGATAAAAGAACAAGCTTATGTTCTGGCACAGGCAACCATGTTAAGTACTGGTGCATTTGACAATAACACGAGGGAAATTTGTGCTTGGTTTCTCTTTATACCAGGCTATAACAGCAACAGTATTTGTGTAGAAGAACCAGAGGTTGAAATCTTCCAAAAGTTGTCTTCAATTATTGTTTCTTTTTTATGTGATGCTGTTTCGACTATTGGAAATAACTTATTCAAATACATGGACCTCTTGAGGCATTACACCTATGATTCAGAAGACGGTAAAGGTAATTGAAATTTTTTAACTGAAGCTACAGTTTCTTTTATCAAACTGTTCTCATTAGTGATCAATTGTTTCTATGTAAAAATTTCTCCTGCAATTTTTGTTTTTGAGGTTGAGAATTAGTATAAAAATAACTTATGGATCAGCTCTAGTGATAAAATGAATTTCTTCAAGTAGATGAATGAAGTAAGAGAACTCAAGAAATTAGTATAGAGAGAATTTATAATGATCGAGGACGTGCAGACCAAGGATAAGTGGAAATTTTTTGAGAAGGAATTGTAGTATATGTTTTTGATCGTTATTATCTGGCATTAGGAGCTTAGCTTTAGTTTCTGTTTAATTTTTTTTTTTTTATATTTTGAATCATAGTGCAGTGGAACTCCTTCCATAGACATTTTTTTTTTTTTTGGTTAAATATTTTGTTTTGGCCTAACCTTTTTCTATTTATAATTGTGACCAGTTGTCTTGAAGGAGTGAAAGTTGTATTATTCCATAAAACAGTGTTAGGAGATTGATGGGTTTTGATTTTGTGCCTTAGTTACTATAGTGAATTCTTTTTTTATGACAGCCGCAATATTAATAAGCAATTCATGAAATTGGATCAGTATTGCAATTGCTAGTTAGTGA